TCCGCCATAGGGCAGTAATTTTTGGAGCCATCTTTAAAATACACAAACAATGGAAAATATAGAATTTTTTTTTTATTTTCATGTTAAAAAAAAATATATGGAATATGTGGCATTTTTAGCATTCTAGATGGTAAAAGTACCTTAAAAGTATGAAAATTTACTATAAAAACACAATAAATAGAAAAAAAAGAAATAATATAAATATACACTACACCGCAAAAGTTTTGCACCACCAAATGTTATGCTCATTTTGATAGTTGATTTTCTTGTAAATGGATTATCAGATTTTGCTAATTTTTTTTTTATTATTTTAGACTTTTTCTTTGGTATTTACACTGTTGGGCTAAGGTTTACGCAAACTTGTCTTTTGGGCCTATACTGGATGGAAGAAAAAATGTTTTTTTTTTTCTTAAGTTTGAGACACCCTGTAGGGAGGACAAGGTGCAAGGGTAGATCTTGTTGTTTTAATTTCCCTGATATCTTTAAAAACAAAGAAAATAGACAGTTTTATTCTATAGCATGTGTTTACTGAAACAATTCTAAATGAAAGATAAAAAATAACAACTGTTAAAAAAACCGGAAAGAGACATAACATAAACTAATATCATATGTTTTCGTATCTACTTCTAATAATAGTTTTGATTGACACTTATTGGCGACAAGTTATTGGTTGACCGTGTGAGTTGTATACACATTGCAAAATAAGTAAGATGAGATTATTTAATGAGGCTCTGTGTGATGTTTTGTATTCTGTTCCCTCTGTTCCCTTTACACCATATATAGGAAATAGTTTCATCTAAATGCAAGACCTCACATATTGCGTGCTGTTACGGAATACTTAGGTGAGGTAAATACTGAGGCATTGAATTGAGCCCCTCATAGTCCTGACATGAATCCTATTGAGCACTTATGGGATATTGTCAGTAGACAATTAAGGCTTTGTTAGTCCCTTCCTGCTTCAGAAAACATGGTTTTGATGTAATTTCACCCTTCTACTCTTTCTTTCCTACATCTAAAAACATTATTCTCTTCCACCTAGTATAAGTCCAAAAAAGAAGTTTCAATAAATATTTGTCAACAGTGTAAAACACCAAGGAAAAAGTGTAAAATTAAAAAAAATGGTGACATCCTGCGAATAAATAAATAAATAAAAATAGTTTTGTAAAACATACCTGTTGAGTTTCATCGGCTATAGTAGCAGGAGATGTCTTAATAATTTTTACTTGTTGTCCAGTCATTGTAGAAGTCATTATACCACTGAAAGTTTTTCCTGAGACTCCTGTCAGTGGCATCATTTTTATCATTTGTGGCTGTCCTATTTTAATCAAGAAAAACACTTTAATAGTTTTTTAAATGTTTACTGTTTTAAAATGTATTGTGTAATAATTTTGATTATGTTTGTATCATATCAATTATTATGATTAAAATGTCCTTTCTACTGATTTAGTGATCATACAAATAGTGATTTCTTAAAACAGTTATGTCCATATTTAAGTACTGGTTGAGTTTACCGAAAGTACAAGCTGAATATAGCCGCAAATGTCAAAAATATTTCGGCTTGGCAGTGTTGGCATGTTTTTATAATGCATATATTGTATACTTCAAATATACAGAGATAAAGCTTTTAAAAGTACATTTTGATTATACTATTTTATGAATTCTGCAATTTTTAATTTACATGAAGCAGTAACAAGTAGATATTTGTCTCTTTTGAGATTAATTGCAAACATCTGTTGTAATCTGGCAACTGCTGATTTGACGATTGCCAAATCTATCCCCTAATCTACCAAAGAGTAATTGCTAAAAAAATTCTAATAATTAACTGAAATTAATCTTCAAAAAAACAAATATTTACTCATTGTTTTATATAAATCACAAATTGTAGAATGCATAACATAATATAAACAAAATGTACTTTTCTAAAGCTTTATATTTTTATATTTGAAGCATACAGCATCTAGATTATAAAAACATGCCAACACTGCTATACCGAAGTCGGTATAACTTCGGTAAACTCAACCTAATTAGTTAAGTATATTGTTCACAAGTGACTATATTATATTTTTTACTATTAAATTTTCTTTATAAGTTCTGGTAAAAAGAATTGGGGATGGTAGTTTCAAATAAAAATGTATAAGTAAGAGATAGGAAAGCACATATAAGAGAAATCCAGATACTCATATAAGTGAACACTACTTAATATCCCTCTCATGTTTCCCAAATGAATTTGCTATTTTACTGAAACATTAAGCAGCTTTCTGCAATTTGGAACTATCTAATATCACAGCAACAATATTTAAGTATATATAATTAATACAAAAAAAAAGGAGAAAATGAAGGATTGTTGATCACAATTTTGAGAATATTAGAAACAAAAGAAATTAAAGAATTTGTAATCAAAATTTTAACAGAAATATTTTTGAATTCCTGAGTGTGACGAATAAACATATGACTGCAACTCATAGATTTGTATTCATTTTAGATCAGATCTTGATCAAATCTAACCTTAATTGCATCTGCTGAAATTTAAGTCTGTACTAATTACATGGTAGCCATAGAGATCTGCTGATTAGTTGTATGATAAATTCCATAGTTTCTCCATATTTACACTTGAACAGGATTAACACATTTTACACATTCCAATTTATTGGTTTATAAGTATGGTTCGAAATTTTTTTTTGACAATCATTTGTGCTATAAAGCATTTCCAAAACGAGAATAAGGAAAGACTATTACCAATTCTAAAGTTGCTTTGGTTTGATGACAAAAAGTGATGTACTGAATTTTAATACTTAGCAGTATAAATTGATCTCATCTCATTTCTTTTTAAAGGAACACATCAGCGAAAATGATATTAAATCGAGATAAGTAAATAAAAAACCCTTTGTGGCATATATAGTTAATTAATTAGTACACTTAATTTTAAATTGTTAGATGACCCATTTAAAAGTTCTACTGAACATTTATTTCTCTTGTTATCCTTTTAACCTAAGGAACCTGAAGGTTCCTAAGTATTATTAAATGAGTAATCTATTGGCAACTGTATTTTGAGTATTAAATATACCTAAAGACAAAAACCAGTGGATCATGGGATTTACTCCTAGTAGCTAGCTTAAGTATTCAATGTACTCATGAGATAAAATATGGCTTGTGTGGTGAGATAAAACAGATGATCAACGTTTAATCCAAAAACTATGAGACTCAAAATCCTAGCCTTTACATAAGACAATTTTGTAAATGTGATTCCACCTATGGCTCTTATGTGTTTTGCATTGGCTTATGTTACAACATTAATATTATTTTTTACGTAAGTTATCTCGAAAGAACGATTTCTTGGAATATGTCATAGAATTTTATTATATTAACTACATAAACAGCATTTAAAATTTATCATTATTCCACATCAAGGAAAAAAGCATGCAAAATTTGGAATATTTACCATTAGTCCCCTGTATCACCCAGTTCGTTGTATTTGTTTGTTGTGTCATTTTCACAATCTTCGAAAATCAACGAAATCAAATAGTTCTTAAAAACCTTACAAACCGCACCGAAATTTTTAAATATACCTAACAAACTAACAGCACAAAGTTCTGATTAGTCAAAATGGCGACGGAATAATACCATATTTCAAAAGCTCGATACGGCGAATCCGTTGGACCGAAATTTAATTTTATTTGTTCCTATAATCAACTGATTATTGTACTTTTATATGTTTCAGAAATTTAAATGATTAGTATAAGTTATGCACTTCCAAAGCTTCACAAAGTTCGGCTATTTCGTGCAAATACATTCTGAAATCAGCTTGGCGGCGGTACAAAGCCTTTACTTTCATTGGTCAAATTTATTCACGTGGTATACGCTGGCATAAGTTGTGAGAATTGCCACTAGGAGAGTCAGCTATTTATGTTTGGCGCCATATGATTCTACAAAATAATTGATATGTTCGTCTACTTACATATAGATGACACTATCAAACCTATCTACAAGAAAATTGGTGTTTAGTCAATTTCTGCTATGAAATAAAATAAAAAAAAAATATCTAAAATGTTGATTTCAATCTTTTTATATATTCGTATCTGCATATTATCATAATTTTACCACCTCAGCGATTTCGTCCTATTTTTCTTAATTTTCTGGCCTGTTTTCGATTTTAAAAAACGAGCGCCGATATTTGCCAATACATTTTACCAGACATTTACATCGAGTTATTTTCACATTTCGCTTTTATGCATATTTGCGTATTACATAATACGCATAATTTTAAAAGAAGCATTATAGCACAGGATTCGAGGACTTTAATCATTTGCTTTCTCCCTTAATATCCTGATAATCTTTATACAGTTCATAGATAAGTGATACAGTTATAGTTTTAAAGCAAATCTTAAACTTTATAATAAATTTTAATTATTAAACCCAAATTTTGTAGCCAAATACAAACTTTGTTTACGAGTTCTGTTAAAAAAGTTTATCCACAAATATTTTATCTCTTTTTAAAACTTTTTTTCATTTCATCGTAAAAGTTTTTTTTTAATAAGTGACAACATAATAATACAGCAAAACAAATTATTTGAGGTTAGTCTTCCAGGTTTGAAGACGTTTTCAAGAGTAATATATTTTGCAAGTATAATTTAAAACGTATTAGACCTGATTTTTCTCTTTGAAGTAATGAATATTAGGACGATTAAATAGAATTTTAATTAATTCCTTATATTTATTTAGAATTAATTTGATTCTTTGTGATAATATTTATAAAAAGGTAAAAATATATTCAGTTTCTAAAAATGCAAATATTTGCCTCTATTTAAATCAAGATGTTTTGATGTATGTTCTTTTGACATTTTGAATGTCAAAATAAACGTCAAAAACATCGCATTGTCAAACAAATACCAGACAAAAATGGACACAGCATTAGTCCCCGATAATTGTCTTGAAGTAATATTTTCTTTTTTAACTCTCCATGACCTTAGAAATTGTTCACTTGTGTGTAAACGGTGGTATAGGTTTCTTAATGACGAAAATAATGACGTGTGGCGATTGCATTGTGTTAGAAAACTTGCCGAGGAAGCACTTAAATCGGACCTCCTAAGTTCAGTTCCCACATACAAAGCCAAATTAAGAGCCTTTCATCATGCCTGGAACCCCAATGATTGTTCTAGAAATATTTATATAAAGCCTAATGGTTTTACTTTACATCGAAATCCAGTTGCACAGAGTACAGATGCTTCTAGGTAAGTGACATTTGTGTTTAAACCTTTTTTTATACTGGAATAGAATATTATTTTATAATATATGTACTTCATTTTTTATATAAGTACGTTTGATTATTTTGAACTATCACTTTCCCTAAGGAATATTCTGGAGACAGAAAGTATTCTGTCTATTCATATTTATTTTTATAGTAATTTTCAGACAGCTAGTTTAACAAATTGTATTGCCCCTGTAACTTGAGTTAAATGTTGACATCAGTTATGCTAAGTTGTATTATTATTGTTATAAAGCTTTTGATTGTTTTTATAATAGTCAACAAAGATTTGATTTTCTTTGTATCTTCCACATTTTGATTAGGTATTTTAATTAATTGGTAGTACAGGACATTTATTCTGAATTGGAATATTCTTAACTTATATTTGGTTTTTGCTAGTTCTTATCCAGCTAAATAAATTAAATAGTACTTATAGCTTAATTGTGTTATTGTGTTCATTTGATTATAAAACTTTATGAGGAACATGCTAATAAAATTTATACTTTCTCCATCAAAAAAGTTTATGGCACTATTGACAGATTGAGCTGTCTTGTTCTCATTAATGATCTGTAGATGTATTTGTCCTGATCAACTTGCTTATATTCGTTTGTTTATTTATTTATTTACGAGATGTTCCCATTTTTACAAAAATTTAACATAAATAGAATATCCCAACCAAAACAAAAATACTAAATGCTTTAGTTAAATTTTTATGAAAATCTTATTACTTACTTAAAATAAAATAAACTCTAACTTAAAGGTCACTCATCTTCGATCCCTAACATACTCAGTCAAACAGTGCTTAACTATGACAGATTTTATATTTATATCCTCCCAACAAAAGTGTTTGTTTAAATGTGTTTTACCTAGGCTGTTTTGTGTTCTTCCTTTTCATTTGGTTAATTCTCTAATCACAAATATTAGCAACAATGTCCTTTAAAACTAAACAAAACTAATTGAACTCACATACTTACTAGATGTTAATCTTCCCAATGCACTATTTTCTGATTATGAATTTTTCTCTATATTACTACAAATTCCTAATACTTCACTCATATAGGTTGAAGCAATTAACATAATTTTTAGAATATCTTGCTTTTATTCCAAACTAACAACATTCAAAATGTGTAAAACATTATTCTAGGTAATATTATCTCTTGTTAGGCATAACTATTTATTGCCTAAGCAGACACACCATTAATACCATCTCAGATAGATATCTACTGTTAGACTATATCACTACTTCAATACAAAAGAGCCCAAGGGATCTACACAAAGTTTTGATCTTTATAGAGCTACGAAAAGAAACAAAAGATTACTGAACAATTATCTAGCAAACAATGAAGACACAATGGTAATATGGCCCATCAAACCTACACATTTCTCAGGAAATGCCCAACCCACCCATCTAGACATAGTAGTAGCGAAAAATCTAGGACTACAGACTGGGATCAGAACATTAAACCAAGGATCACAAGACTACAACCCCATACTACTAGAAATAGGAACATGAGAAAAAAACAACACAACAACAAGAAAAATAAATAAAAAAAGTGGAAAAATTACAAAAAACTTGTGAGTATTGTAATCAACAACATCTTAGTGATAAACAATCCACAAGAAATAGAAGAAAGAGTCCTAGAGTTCAAAAATATCGTATAAGAAGCACTCAGAAATAGCACTACTAAGGAAGAAATAGAAATGGGTAGGTTTAGAGACATAAACCAGGAAATAAAGGACATGATAAGGGAAAAGAACAGAGCCAATACAAGAGCTAGAAAAACAAGAAACCAGAAGGACAAAAACAATGCAAATCAGAGAAGTGAAAACAGCACCAGCAAAACATAAAAGCAGATGCTGGGATAACCATATTCAAGAAATGGAGGAACAAGGTTCAAACATGCAAAACATGGAAACTACAAAAAATATTAAGAAATGATAGAAAACCCATACCTACACTTCACTGTGAAAATGGAACTGTTTACTGCATATATAAAAAAGCTGAGGGGACGAGGAGGACTCTCGAGAGAGAATGTACATTAAATTATCACCAAGACAAAGGTGTAGACTTCATCGAAGTAGTCAAAGAACAACAAGAAATGCCCGAAGAACCAGAGTAGATAATCATATCTACATCTCTTCAAGAATTAATTAACGAACTAATTAAAAATAGCTAACTACAGGCCTATAAGCTTGCTGCCAGCAGTCAGCAAGATCATAGAAATAATAATACTAAGCAGACTACAAGCTAAAACATACCAAATAGGACTAATTCCAGAAACTCAGTTCGGATTTAGAGCAGAACACTCCAGCGAATTACAAGACTGACAGAATACATAACAGCTGGATTTAATGATAAACATTACACAGGAGCAGCATTCCTGGATGTAAGCAAAGCCTTTGATAAAATCTATCATAAAGGTCTAATATACAAAATGAGAGGCTACTAATACAGTGAGGCCCCGACGAGACTGATCTCTTCATACTTAAGCAACCACAGCTTTAGGGTTCGGATAGGACAAGTACTATCTGAACACGGAGCTCCGGAGGTTGTACTACTACAGGGAGCAGTCCTGTCACCCCTACTGTACACAATATACACTGCAGATGTCCCAAGAACACCAGTAACATTTAGCCTTTAACATTCAGCCTTTAAGCAAACAATTGCTGCCAAACACTGCAGTTAACTGTCTTCAATTTACATTATTTTCATCCGAATCAGTGTCACTCTTAACACTGTCATCTGAAGAGAAATCAGAGATGGAGCTGCTTGAAGATAAACTGCTTGAAGACAAAGGCGAGCTGATGTATTTAGGTTTAGGCTATTAGCTTGGTAGTTTGTGCCATTATCACCAAAAATATTTAAATTATGTTGGCTATCAGGTATAGAATTACTTCAGAGGAGTTCTTTAGTTTTGTTGAATTGTAAAGTAGTGAATCAATATTTTTTTGCGTTTCCAAGTTTACTAACATGGGCAGAGTCTCATAACAGTTATCTTGCTCCTTTAATCATATTTCTTCAATTTTCTCAACTTTATTAGTATTGTTTTTACACCCAACCATGTCGAGTATTCTATGCACTCTTTTTTTCCTCACTCTTCATGCACTCCTGATTCTGCAACAAATTTTTTATATTCAGTTAGAAATATCGGATTTTTCTTTTAATGCTCGCACATTACAAAATTTTTGTACTGTTTTCATGCAAACATTGCAGACTTTATTTCATTAGAACTATTAATGAATTATATTAAAATAAGACGATATATTATGACAATGAAACCAATATAAAATTAAATAAAAAAACTGCATTTTACTTTATAATAATTGTCATAGTAAATGCAAAAGGGTCGTATCCGAAAATATGGCCCTTTTTTAAAATGGGCATATTCAATTACACATCACTTTTATTTAAGAAATAATATACTTATATAATAAATGTAATTAGGGAAGACAACTTCACATTATTAAAACGGAAAATTATTTTTTAGGGGTAAAATAGGCTTTAGACATGGAAGGCATGCTTGGGAAGTAATTTGGGAAGGCCCTCTAGGAACAGTGGCAGTTATCGGAATTGCTACCAAAGATGCTCCTCTTCAATGCCATGGTTATGTTGCTTTATTAGGTTCTGATGATCAAAGTTGGGGGTGGAATTTAGTGGACAATCATTTATTGCATAATGGTGATGCCCAAGGGAACTATCCAATGTTAAACAATGCTCCAAAATACCAGGTATAACTATATTTTTATAACCACTAATCTATTTTAAAACTCATTAATATATGTAAGTAAAAATAGTAAAACTGTCACTTATTTCACTGCTGTTTTGTATCTACTATGGAACCTCGATAAGTTGAATTAATTGGGACCGCGGCCTATCCGGTTTATAGAAAATCAGGGTTAACCGGAGAATATGGTAAAAATTTATAAAACAGGATACTTACAAATAAACTCCATTATAATTGCAAAATCATGGAATACATATGTAGAGTACATGTAAATTATGTACAGTTGTATCAATTGTATTGTTCATTTCTTGGTAAAAAAACTTAGTTTCGGTTGTCAATTTCGTCTATCGCTTGCGTGCTGTGCGATCCCGCATTCTCTTCAACATAAGCAGTTCAGCCGGCGATATTTTTGTATGCCGCTTAAAATACACCATTAATATCTCTAGTTGGGTTATTGCGTCTCCATGAAAGTGTAAGTTAACAGGAGTGAATCAATAAAAACGGTGCTTTCAGATTTAGGAATTGGAGAAGTAACTGTTGAAGATTGAAAGAATAAATTCGAACAGTGGGTCAACCAAAGTGTGAGTCTTGGGAGTGGATTGGCGCGGAAGACAATGAAAAAAGGAGACCATGAACAAATTTCTGAGGCGTTGTTCTTGTGCTGTTCACAAATGAGAGGATTGGGCAGCCCGATAAGTAGTCCAATACTCAAAGTAAAAGCTATTGAATTCCACACAAGAAGTTTATGGATGTCAGAGAAAACTTTTGTGCTAGTAATGGATGGATAGACTCATGGAAGAAGAAATATGGTATCTGACAATTGAATCTATTCGGCGAAAAACTTTTTGCTGACTCAACTGAAAGTGGAGCATTTTATTAAAAATTACATGACATTATCCTTAAAGACGAACTGACTTCAGACCAAATATTAAGGCAGGTCTTAATTTTAAAACGCTTCCTTGGAAAACACTAGCTGCTAAAAATGAAGGAACTGCACCAGGTTACAAGAAAAGCAAAAACAGAGTTACAATCATGATCTACAACAATGTGCCTGACTGTGAAGATTTGATCCGTTGTTGATTTATTGGATCGGAAACCGCACTGGTAGTTCCCAACTATATGTTCAGCATAGGGGATCAATCTTTTGTACAATACGTTGGACAATACTTTATATGCCACGGTAAGTAGGGTGATGCGTCTATAATTATCACACACCATCATATCTCCCTTTTTGTGAAGAGGGTGCATTACACTTAATTTCCAGTTTGAGGGCGTTTCCTTCAGTTGCCAGATTTCGGTTACTAATTTGTGCATGTGTTTAAAAAGGGTGTCACCGCCATTTTTAAAGAGTTCGGCTGTAAGATTGTCCAAACCAGGGGCTTTGTTATTTTTCAGTTTTGAAATGGCTTCTCTAATTTCTTCTTCGGTAGTGGGCGGCTCTTGAGTGCTTAATTTGATGTAATTTGATGTAAATATGGTATTCCTTATTGATAAGAATTTAATTTATCTGGTTTCTGATGATCTTCTCTTTGTTATCCTCAGGTGTAGATGACGTAATTCTGCTAGTCTGTTCCCCTTTTCGTTCCTGATTCCCAGTCTGAATTCGCTAATATCATCTTGGAATTTACCTCATTACTTTTACTCTAGTACTTTTACTCTACTTTACGTTTACCTCATTTAGCCTTAAAAGCGTCTCTTTTTATGATTTTTTTCTTCTAGTATTAATACTGTTAAGATCTTTTTAAATATCATTCTATAACTTCTCTTTACGACCTTGATTTTTGACCATAGTGGATGATATTAAGAGCTCTATGCTATTTGAGCTGTTATCATTAGTACTCCATCCGATATAGGAACAAAAAAGATTACAGCTTGACAGAAAAACTACGATCAGTCACTATTGCTACACCATTATACTAATGCTTGTCTTCATTTCCGGAGTAATATAACTTGTCCGCGTCGATTTCGATTTCATTAGATCCAAACTATCTGGTTTAAAGTATTACATTATATAAACTTTAAGTAGCTGCACCTCGTGAATTTTTCCTTCTTCGTATATAGATTTTACATTCCACATCACGGGGATTTAATAGGATGATGACCTTGGAGGCTCTACGGTTTACTTGAGAATTGCCTCCCCTGCTGGATCTTGGTGAATATCAATGATGAATATATGTATGATATAATGCTATATAGTAATATATGATAAAATGCCAATGATATTTGCCATAGACACGATAGTTGAAAAGATGTCTATATATTGCTTATCTGTGTCACCAATCCACTTGTATGTGGTCTGTCTTCTACTTCATGGAGTTGCAGATTCGGATTTTTTCTTCATTGAGATTAAAACCTTTCGGCATTTTCTAATCTCTCCAGAGCTCTAGAAGACTAACAAGTTGCAGGTCATGGCAAATAAGTGACATAAAATTGATGGTTCATCTATCACTCAGTCCCAAATGATTCTTTTTGTCTTCAATAAATATAAATTGCAGGTTCAACGTCTGTCGACTTATCTCGTCATTTTGCAGCCACTCCGTTGTAATCGTAAATTGGTTAAAAGTGTATCCATTCCTAGAGAATTTTTTGAAAAAAAAAAATACATTTTTAACAACTGTTTTTAAAAATGTTCAATAGTAACCCCTAGTATAAGTGAGTTTTACTGATATTTTCCTATAAATTTTTTAGGTTGGTGAACGAATCAGGGTGATTCTTGATTGTGATGACAATACCCTATCTTTTGAAAAGAATTATGAATTTTTAGGTGTAGCTTTTAGGGGTAAGTACTATTTTCAAATTGATATCAATTAGAAAGGTATGTAATACTATTGCGCACATGTACAATAAGCCAATTGACGTCCGGATTAAAACAGACGGCTTCCTAAATAAAACAAGGTTTGTTTATTTATAAAGTTTATTTATAAAATTGGTCTTTGCACAAATATCATCTTATTTACGAATTATTTTCTATATTACGTCTTTTTTCTACTCACATACTCTAAAAAATGAAATAAGCCGCTTGTCTCTAGATTGATAAATGACTTTCAATTCATTGATCAATCAATAATCTCTTTTTATTTCTCATTCTCAAAAAAATACAATATTCTCTTTTGTTGAGATTTTTTCTCCTTGGCACATGCCACCAGGAGGGTCGATAAACAAGAATTTTATTTTCTAATCTACAAAAATTACTCTGAGGCTAATTCTGCATAACAAGTTCATTAAAATTAATTAACAAGGAAATAAATATACATATAAATAGAATAGCAATAAACTAAATGTATATATACTACTGCGCAAAGAGTCAATCAAAAACCAAGGCATGCTGAATAGAATATCGTAATTAATAATAATAGTAGTAATGCGCAACGAGAAGATCGCCAAGTAGAGATTTCGACATACAAATAAGAAGACAATGGAGAATGGAAAGTACCCAGACGATACCTATTATTCTCTCTACTATTGGAGTCATTTCGAAGAACCTCGTAGGTTTTAGTGAACATCTCAGGTGAACTCAGCCTGTACCTGTCTGATCATGGTAACTACTTCCACTCTACTAAGTTCATTTCTACCCAACCACTTCAACCTAATCTGTCTCAGCACCAAGCTTTTTCCCAAAACATGTATCATATATATATAGATAACATATCTCCCCTTATCATTCAAATTTAGAATGTCTCTTACTCCTTTTTGTGTATCATACTTCCAATCATACTAGGCCAGCTTTCTCTTAATTCCTATGCACATCCAACATCAATACCAAATTTTTCCCCCATGCTCCTCTAATCTTTCCCCCAATCACACCTTGTGTAATTTTCTGTGTAAATTCATTGTATATAGGTTCACTCTACCAATATCTGTCTCCAAATCTAACATAAAGGTACCAGTCTCTTCAACAAAATACACTGACCTCTTCATGTCAGCCATCAGAAAGGTCAACCAACACTAAATATCGTCTTAGTCACACGTCCGTGTTTAAATCATAAACAGACGATAGTTTGAGCTCGTCTTGAAAGGGATATGCAAGTATGTAAATGCATAATTATCCGAACCATAGTCTAGGTATCACTGTGTCCGTTGAACTGTGTCAATATGATTGACACACTGGAAAGTGTTGACACAAAAGTAGTTTAATCTCTACTTGCCAACATTATTGAATCCGTTTTTTCATAAAATGCATTAAAACTGTATCATAATAAATATTTCTGACGTATTTATTACTAATATTTTTTATATATTAGGACTCCCAGATAAGAAGCTCTACCCAACCGTATCAGCTGTGTATGGCAATACAGAAGTTTCTATGGTCTATCTCGGTCCACCACTGGATGGCTAACATACCCTCGGATATACACTGTATATTCTAGTCAAATAAATTCTAGTCAAAACCAAAAACCAAAGAAATTGGAGAGAGAATTTCAAACGTCTGTTTTAAAGATGGTTCAATTCAGGTCAGTCCGGTTTGCCCAATGTGATAAATAATAACCGCATTTAATAATACTAGTTATTATTTTATACGAAAACATTTGGTTTGTATAAAAACTTTGTTTTTATATTTTCTATTCGGTAGAATGTTTTGACACTTTGCTATGTCTAATTTCTACGATTTTTAACATCGACTTTTATAAAAAGTGGAAATGAAATAGAAACACTTATTCAGTGAGCGATACGATTACGAGGATTGCAACTTTTAAAAATCTACGAATAGCAAATATAAAAACTGTCTTAGGAGATCACATTTCAGTCAACACGATTTGTAAAAAAATGTATAGTTGTAAAAAGTATTGTGTAATGTGTATCAAAGCCACCAAACAGTAATTTTTGTTTAGATATTTTGCAAGTTGTGATTTAAGTTTTGGCTCGGAGGAGTTCTCACATCAACATTGATTGTTGGACAACTACTCCTTTTGTAAAATTAAAGTAATTAATGGTTTATTAAACCCCTTTCAAATTAAAAAAAAAGAAATAAAAAATTTAGGGTCGTTTCTTAAATAGCTGCCAATGGTGTATTTAAAATAAAAATCAATTTATTAAATTATTATATTATAAATATATTATTAAATTAATTTTGATCTTTTTTAATGTAAATCATTTCCAATATGCATCTTTTGTTGTAATTTTGTCTTTTTCCAAAATTACCGTACTACAGAGAACTGTAAAATTACTATTGGATGGTATACATGGCGAAAACGTGAAAAAATTAGTGAGAACTGATGTCTTCTTCAGGGCTTTCGAGGGTTTTCAGTTTCCCGAGTCCCCAGACACTACTACACTTATCACTAGTCACTTCACTATATATGTATATATATATATATATATATATATATATATATATATATATATATATATATATATCCAAAGGGTATCTCCTTTGATCATTTTTTCCAAATTTTTATAAAAAAATTTTTTTTTATATTTTGGTGCAAGCACTAGATCCAGCTTATTACAAAAACATGTCTTAGTCTGATCCGCCAACCCAAATTTGCCGGGAAAGAGAAAAAATCGAATTAAAAATTCTTTACTTTTTCATCAAATATAGACCTCCAAATGAAAATTTTTCTCACGAACCGTTAGATGTAGAAAAATTCTGAGCATCGCATAGGAACGGGCTGTCAATTTTGTGTAATTTGATCTTTATTGAAATGTCGGAATCACTTCTTCTCTCCTCGAATGGTACGAAGCGTTGTCCATCACCACAAGTTATCTCTGGAAGATTAGGAAGCAGCTTTTCCTTAAACCATTGTTCAAATATAGGACCATCTATGTCATCATGATAGTCCGCTGGTTTTGAGAAAATTTTTTTATTTCACGCAAAAACTGAGGCCTCCATTTTAGAATATCGGGCCGTTCAATCATGCTGTTGTGCGTGACATGTTTGCTAAATCTTTGTCTTTTTTAACCAGTGCAAAACTTTGTTCAATGTCGGCGGTACATTTTTAAAGAAAAAACTATGCACGATGGCACGTAGCCGCGTATGAACTACTGCATCGTAAGTGAACTTTCTGTTGTTCACTCTACTTTTCCTACGTTTTCTTGTTTTTTTTATAGGCCTTAGTCCTCCTTTCACAGCTTCTTTGAGTATTTTAAAAATATTACTAAAACTTACTCCTATCATAGCACTTACTTTATCGGTTAAACTTCTAACACTTTCACCACTTCTTATGCCATACCGTATTATTTTAAGTTGCAATTAGTAATTAGATATATGTATTCCAAGCGCTATGTTTATTTGCTTTTAAATCTTTAGTAGCCGGCAAAATGCATGATTTAACTAAGCAATATTTTCTACTGATTTCTATGATTCATGGTATATGATACTCTTATCGAAAAACAAATAAACTTTCGTTACTATAATTAAAATAAGATAAAATAATTATAATTTATTCGTCTTCCGGGTTTGGACCGTGTCATTTGTGAGTGACGCAAAAGTGGGTTCATCTCGACGTTTCGCTACAATTGTATGTAGCTTCTTCAGGAGAACAAAGAAAAAGAAAAAGAAAACAATAGACAGGAAGATGGGTAGTTAGCAACGGTAACTCAGTTACTCAACGCAACCAGAGGCGAATACTAACTACCAAGATGGGCATTTGGTCACAGTAACTCAACTACTCAACGCAGCCAGAGGTGAAAACCAAATGCCAGGACAGGGATTCACGTCCAACAGCTCAGAACACTAACGCGTCGAGAGGCGGGGATTCACTCCCCGCCTCTCGACGCGTTAGTGTTACTGTAACCAAATGCCCATCTTGGTAGTTAGTATTCGCCTCTGGTTGCGTTGAGTAACTGAGTTACCGTTGCTAACTACCCATCTTCCTGTCTATTGTTTTCTTTTTCTTTTTCTTTGTTCTCCTGAAGAAGCTACATACAATTGTAGCGAAACGTCGAGATGAACCCACTTTTGGGTCACTCACAAATGACACGGTCCAAACCCGGAAGACGAATAAATTATAATTCTGACTCTGGCCGTGGAAGCCTACGATCTCACAAGATAAAATAAAATAATCTTTTGTAAATACTATTTATTTAATTAAAATCATTTTCCCTACTTTTCATCTCATGTTTCGAATGGGCACTTTTGGTCAATTACGTTAAAAAACATTAATTTAATTCATGTCTGTGGAAACGAAAATACAAATTATACAACCCTGAATCGTGCTGGTGTTAGTCGTGGCATCGTCGCGCTTTTATCGGCCATAAGAAATAAATGGCCGTATCTCCGCAGTGTTATTTTCTTAACGTGGAACTCTCTATAGCAATTGACAATAGTCTGAGGTGTCCATTCGCAAATAATTGCGCCAGTCATCTGGTTCGCCTCTCAGTTCTTTTAGTAACGAGACTTGGGAATACTGGCTTCTTTTCAGAAGCCACTCTCTTGACCATCTTGTCTTTTCCCTCTTTATCCACTTTTTCCTCAGTCGTAGTATCGTTATAGTTGAAAAAATAAAAGAAAGCAGACGTGTTTCCTGCATAATACAAAAATCACTAAACAAACTTAATATAACTCAAGACTATGAATTAGAAATGAGGTAGAAAACGGAAGGAAAAACGTAGTGTAAATACACTGGACAAAACGTACATTTTGTCGTACGTTTTATATGACCCACAAAACGTACAAGAAAACGTAGCGTAAAAACCGGCCTTAAGAATGTTAAATCCTTAATGATAGACAGAACTATAATAGCTGATCTTTTACTCTCGAAGCGTGAGATATTTTTATTTTATTTAAATTATCCAGACTTTATTTGTTTTTCAAAATAGTATTCTATTTTGGGTTTCTTATTTGAAGTATACGCCATTTAATTTCAGTTATTTGTTAAAGATAAATTCAATGCTTGATCATGACCTAATCAGACTTGACAAAACTTAAATCACTGATGTGTATTAAAAAAAAGCTTGACAGAAATATGATCATATAACTTCCAGTCCACTCTAGGACCATTTTAATATATTTATTGCAATATAAGAGATGATAATATTGAAAACTATTCAATTAAATTTATTGCCTTTTGCAATTCAGTTTTTAACAATTTTTTTTTAAATTTCTATTTAATTTTCTGGAATAATTTAATAATTTAATAATGATTTTATTGTTATTTTTTCCGCCAATAAGTTATACTCACCTTTATCAAAAGTATTCAATATTATCTGTACTTAAAAACAGGATTTGCATAATGTTACCTTAGTTGTTAAGCTTAAATTGATATTTTTATACAAGACACAGTTGAATTTATGATTTAAACAAAATATATTGTGACTTTTTATATCAAATTCCTTCCACTGGAATAGTTTATACAGTACTGGTCTAAGGTCAAAGTAAATTTTTTTATGATGTTTTAGTTACATAATCCTTCAAAATGATGGACGGGCGCCATCTTATGAAATTATTTTAAATTACATCATATTGCAAGTAGTATCTCACTTAGAAGCTCTTGTGTTACTCAGTATGTTCCTTCCTAGATTTTTTTGAGACTCTGGCGGCTGCTTAACTTTCAATGGTTACTTTGTAAAAAAAATCTTGGACAGATCTATTTATTTCTCTAGCTTAACATATTCTGATAATTATTTTTTTTAATTGGTTATTTTGTTTCTGTAAAAAGATGACGTCTTTGATATTATTATAAAATGGCTGAATACGGCATATGTTTCAGTAAGACGTATTAATGTTGCTGGTTAATTAATTAAAACTCACTTACCTTTGTTGAAATATGTTAATTAGTAGGGTAGAAAATTAACGGCTTGACGCTCGGCGACGCCAAGAAGGAAGATACGACAACATCATCACCGGGGAGATTGACATCTTCGGCCATAATCAGTGCTTGTGCGCGAAATGCTGTCTCGTTCGGTACTGCTTACTCGGCTTGTCTGTATGGACCACCCCTATTACGTAGGTTCTTCTTCTTGATGTGCCTATCACTTACGAATGTTGGCGATCATCATGGCAATCTTTATCTTATCTGCAGCAGCGAGGAAAAGCTGCACAGATGTTGTATTGAACCAGATTCTGAGGTTCTTTAACCAAGATGTTCTTCTTCTTCGTGGACCTCGCTTTCCAAATATTTTTCCTTGCAGGATGGCTTGATGGAGAGCATATCTGGATTCATTTCGCATAATATGTCCGAAGAATTGTAACTTTCGAGATTTGATGGTGGTTAGTACCTCTCGGTTTTTATTCATTCTTCTGAGGACCTCCTCATTTGTGACTCGGTCTGTCCACGGGATCTTAAGTATTCTTCGATATAGCCAAATCTCAAATGCTTTCAGTTTTCTGCACATATCTTCGTTGGAGGTCCACGATTTAACACCATAAAAAAAGACAGAGAAGCCGTAGCATCGAAG